AGATGAAAATGCATGGATGATGGAAGTTAGGCCCTCAGCATCCAGTATTCCTTTTTAAAGATCTGTTCCTGTAGTATTGGACTGTTCATCAATGTGGCCAAAGCCCTAGATGTCTAGAGAGAGATACAGCTCTTTTGAACCTTTAGAGGTAAAGGAGACAAAACAAGCACACTTGTCACTGAGCCTTTGCTGTTGTCTCCTGGACAAATATTTAATTTTGCAGTGTAAGTTTGTTAAAAACTCAAATTTTAAAAAATGTGTTCAGATCTTTGGAATTACTTTCAAACAACCTTCCAAATTGTTATGTTTTATGTACGATCTTCTTGTGTCTACCCCTTATGCTTTTTAATCTTCTGAGGAAAAGCTAGCCAGAAGTACTACATGGCAATATGTTTGAGTGCTGCACGTCAGAGATGACTTCTGAAACAGATGACATAGTGAGCTGCATCTCATGTGTTGCAAGCAAACCTACCTTCAATTTGACCTCCTGTCAGTCACTGGTTCCACATCCTGTATTAGCAAATGCAGGGGACAACCTGATTGCTTCTTTAGGGCAGCTACACAATGGCTGGTACAGAATAAGTGAACAAACTACAGATATTGATCTGCATAGCACATTTTGCTATGTTCTAATTTAAGATCTAAGCCAGTATTCAGTCTGAGACAGGAGTGTGACCTCCAGTGTCAGAGTTAATACCCCAGTCATTTTGTGTCAGTCAACATTTGGTTAACCTGAAATTTTTTATGAAAACCATGTTAGAAGATGACAACTTCTAGTTATGACAGTTGCTAGCAGTAATGTAGAATAAGTTCTTCTTCATCATAAGTGTGACCAAAAAAACTCCTCTTTATGTGGCTTTATCAGGACACAATGGCAGAGAGTTTACTAGGTGGACTCTGATGTCAAGTGCATGCAAGAGTTAATTTCTTGGCCATGCTTTTCCATAGGACCTTCCAAAGAGGGGCATACACTACCTCTATCTATACAGTCACTGCAAGGTATATATATACTCAGGACTGCTTGCTGAATCAAAACGTGTCACTCTATCAGCCGCAGCCTACATAGCTGTAGGATTCAGCATATGACTTTCGCATTTCATTTCTACTGGGTGGGCTGGTTAGCACTGACCAGCTCCATCCATGTAAATAAACAGCTGCAGGATCATGGCAACAATTTGCTCAGCAGCAGACTTTGAAGCCTCTCTACATGTATTCATCTTGTGCATACAAACCTTGATCCTCTTTGCTGGAAGCTGCGTAAAGCTTGTATTGGGTTTCTGCACTGCTAGGTTAGGTGAATGGGCCAATAAAGGATTTCGGAGCCCAGACTGCAGAGTAGAATTAGTGTACTGCTGCAGGCTTCCTGTGCAGTACATGGGGTACATAGGCACCTCCAAAAAGGGTCTGACACAGCCAGTGCAATCTTACTGCCCCCTGGAAATGTCCTTCGCAGACATTGCTTCAAAGCAATGGGCCCTCTGACTTCTTTCAGTGCTAAATAGCTTTCGCTCTTAAAAAATAATAATAATAAAACACCGCAGGTACTATTGTCCTCCTCCTGCTTTTCAGAACTGGTTAAAAACCTGCCCAGAAAGTGCAAGATCCAGGTTTGGCTGCAGAGACAGTAAGGTAACCCTCCAGCTCACCTTCTCACCAGGTGAGGAGCTGTGTCCGTCTCCTCGCTCCAACTTGTTCCCAAGTAGCAGCAGTTCCATGGGGACACAGAAATGACTTGCAGTTACCTGTGTTGATCCAGGAGCATGGACTGGCTGCATGTCTTCATCCCTAGCCTAGGCAACACTTTTTTCCTTTAAGTGCTGCAGTGGCTGTTTCCCAGGACACACTTACTGGATTACAACCCTCAGGGAACTGAAAACTATTTAGGCTGAGTCATAAACAAAACACTGATCGTAAGAGGTGCTGCTCATAGGAGGTGTGTATGGTACCCTCTATCAGTCAGCTGTTGAATAGGGCTGCAGTGATGCTAACTTTGAATATAAGCGATTACATTTTGCTGGAAGAATATTGCTAGCACTTAGAAAGAGTGCTTCTCAATGAAATGACTGAAAAATAACTGTGGCTTTGAAAGATAACATGTGTGTCTGTCCTTCACTAAGCATTTGACACATCTTGACTCAGCATAGCACTATTTTGGGTTTGCACAGCTACAACACAGTGCTGTACACAAGTTCTCTGTTAATACTTGACCTTAGCTTTGTGTCACAAGCTCAGGAAACTTCAGGAATGAATTTTGACTGATGTCTCTGAAGGATGTCCTTTCACATGTCGCTGTGTTAGGCCAGTCTAGACACTCAGAAGAGCACTGTCTGACCTTAAAATCTCTGAAGCAGCTATTCTCTCCCCTTGCTGCTAGCATTTGACTCAGCAGTTCACGGTTAGTCCCAGACTTGTACAAGCGTCATTTCCTTCTTGGCTCAGTTACTGGAGAAGGGTGGAGAGTTTTTGGCTTCTTTGCCATTGTTTGGGCACGTTCAAGTTGATAACATTTCTGCTGGGCAAGTTATCAATAGCTCACATGCTAAACCTTGAGAATATTGAGCAACTTTTTCCAGACTTACCCTGAGATTCAGTCAGTTAAAAGAGTATACATAAAAACCTCAATTGCACATACAAAGGCGAAAGTTTCTTTGATGAAAGCCAGGAATTTAGATCAAAACACAGTTTATTTTCCCAAGGTTGACAGTGAAAGGATAGAAAAAAATGCTGTTTTATTAAGACCAGAAATCCATTTCTTGATCTTAAAAGACTGGTTTTTTTTGTGAGGGAGGGAAGCTGTGCTGTAATGACAAGATCAGAGTATTCATTTCTTTCTTTTTTTTTTCCTTTTATGCGGAAACACTTCATAGGAAGAGAAAAAGCAATAGTAAATTAATATAAAAGACGCCTGGTACAGTACACAGTCAGTCAAATGTAAACGCTCCAGATCTTAATCTAAATCCTCTGAGCTCTATGCATATAAATGATCCATTGATTTCAGCCATATAATTCTTAATGTAAGCAGACTTTTGCCCTTATTCACTAATAGGAGTTTTCTATTTCTGGCAAGAGAAGAGAAGTAGTGGACCCCAAATGGGAAAGCAGAGTACAACTGCATCATTAATGAAACATTTACCTTGATGTTTGTGACCTTCTGCGAGCTTGAGGGATTAATAAACACACAGGCCACTTGACTTCAAGGTAATCTAGAGGGGATCCATTACTTAATCTGTTTTCTAAAGCGAGTCTATTTTTGGGTACTGGGTTTTAATTCACCTATAGTGGTGGTAAGCATAAGATGTATTTTATTACACTTCTCTGTGACCCCTGTCGTGAAAGATTTTCAGACAGGCCAGGGCAGGGACGGTCTCTTTTGCTGGTGGGTGATTACAGCACCTGTCGGAGCCCAGCCAGAAGTATTCAAGGAAGTCCTAGAGATAGGGTCCAATTTCTTAAACAGTGTCTCCAAATACACATTTAAGAGGCTTCCTGCTGTCTCGAAATTTAAGGCCCTAAATAACCAGTGGAAAAAAGCATAGTCTTCGTAACTTCAGACTTTATGCTTGCCTGGTTTATTTTTATTTTGTAAATGATTCTGTGTTGATTATTCTTTTTTTTTTTTTCCCAAGCCTGTCACTTTTCAGACAGAAATATAATTGATGATAGCTATTCTGCTGCAGCTTGGTAGTATTTTTTTCAAGAAGGAGTTAAAGACATACATGATGTAAGGAAGTGCCGTTCCAACTTCAGCTTTGGCCAACAGATGGTGAAATAAACATAATCAGCAGAAGAGCAAGATGATAGCAGCAGGGAAAATATGAACAATAGTAAGAAAACACAAATATTGAGTCCATTACTCTGAGAGGCCTTAATTCAGCAAAATATTCAAGTATGGGTTTCAGGTTCACTGACGCAACGCGCTTGCTAGGTTAGCCTTAAACAGGCATTACCCATTTTATGCCCTTAAAGTTGAACACATCAACTGACATAAAACATTGCCATTAACTTTCCTGTAATTCTGAGAAAGCTGTTGCATAAAATGTTTAATTTGATAGTCAGCAAAAAGCAGTTAGATAGCAATATATTCTGCCTGTCTGCCTGCCTACATGGTTGTCCATCTTTTATCTCAAGAATACCAGTGCACCCTCCATGCCAGCTGCTCCATAACCCAGAGCTTAGGTTAGAAGGCTTTACAGCCAGGTAACCTAAATATGCAGAAGTTGTCAGGATCAGCTGATGTTCTAATGAATTTCTGAGCCCAGGGTGGAGCCTTGGCACTGTTAAATTCAGGCGTACTTTTTCCATAGACTTAATCTCAGTCAAGCTTTAGCCCTATACACACATGCTCACACGTGCATGTATCTATGTACACAAATGTATGAATAATACATTTTTGCGATGGTATTGAGAAGACTTTTTAAAGCAGATGTCTGATTATATAAATATAAATTGTATATATAGGCAGACATCTGTTTAAAAATTATAAATACATTCAGACATCTGTTTTAAGAATGTCTTTCCAATATTTTTGCAAACATCACTAGGCGACAGAAGCGATTCAGGGCGGGATGCAGTCATGACATGGATGGGGCATGAGGAGGGGCTGCCCAGACATTCAGCTGTTCCGCTCGCCTGTGACCAGATGAAGTGACTGGTGGCCCAAAAGCTCCTTCTCCAACCCCCCCCAGGGTAATATGACCAAGCATCTCATTCAGTGAGCTCAGGTTGCCAGAATAAGATCCTGACACAGACAGCACCTTCTGTAAGGACATTACAAATAGTAGAAAACATCCTTGGTACATTAAGTGTGTTTGAATGATACTTTACATGGAGACAGTACTGCAAAGAGATGTTGAGCAAGGTGAAGCAGTAAGTCTGTGGCACAGCCAGAAGCACAGGGTGTTTCTCTTGATGCCAAGCTCTGTGTTGTAGCCAGACACAGCCCTTATGAGGTCTTATATCAGCGAGTAGTGGCTCTGCTAATGGTTTCCATGCTTCTTTGCAGATGTATTGTGAGAGGTTTATATGTATCCTGAGAATACTTGGAACCACACTCTTCGGGGTGTCCCTCCTGCTGGGAATCACCGCTGCTTACATTGTGGGCTACCAGTTCATCCAAACAGACAACTACTACTTCTCCTTTGGACTCTATGGTGCTATGCTGGCATCGCATCTCATCATCCAAAGCCTGTTTGCCTTCCTAGAGCACAGGAAAATGAAGCGGTCACTAGAAACTCCAATCAAGCTGAACAAAACAGTTGCCCTTTGTATTGCTGCCTATCAAGAAGATCCTGACTACTTAAGAAAATGTTTACTTTCTGTGAAAAGATTGACCTACCCTGGAATTAAAGTTGTTATGGTCATTGATGGGAACTCGGAAGATGACGTTTACATGATGGACATTTTTACTGAAATCATGGGTAGGGACAAATCTGCCACTTATATCTGGAGTAATAACTTCCACGACAAAGGTCCAGGTGAGACAGAGGAGTCTCACAGAGAGAGCAAGCAACACGTATCTCAGCTGGTCCTGTCCAACAAAAGTGTTTGCATCATGCAGAAATGGGGTGGAAAAAGAGAAGTAATGTACACAGCATTCAAAGCACTGGGGAGAAGCGTGGATTATGTACAGGTAGGTATTAGAGCACCAGGTCAGTGCCAATTCAAACACAGTTTGAAAGAAAGGAGCTTTTGTATATTTTGTGCAGCATGTTAGAGGCCATCCTAGTCCCTGATGAACACAGTGCTCCTTTCAGTCTGTTTGGAAGCAGTTTGACCATTAAAAGCGTATTTTGCTACCTTGCTACCTTTTAAAATGGTCAACCTATCTGTGAATATGTTAAATCTGTGCACCAGCTACCAGAGGAATCTGAAATCCTTTCTCAGATTTCAGTAATGCCACCTCGTCAAAATGGTTTTGCTTCAAGCAAAGCCAGCAGACTCCTGAAGACCCCTTCTCTGCTCCTGTAAGTCAAGACCTCAGGTAGCTTTTTATTTTGTGAGGTTGTTAGCAGCCCCATATGCAAGCAGGCAGATGGGTATTTGGTGGCACAGGGGAATATCTCAGAGCAGTGGTGGAGTCTGTAAAAAAGATGGGGATATTTTTAAGGCTTTGAAGGCCGTGCAGAGTATTCTATAAAAGGATCAATGTGCAGCCTTGAAAGAAAGATATCTTCAGCTAAAGCCTGAAGGAGCTTTTGCTTCATCAGTTACAGCTGCATTACCTCACTCGCCGCGACTTGGCCTTTAAAGCCCTTATGACACTATTCACTTAAAAATGAATTAGGCTGGGTCCTTTCTCCCTGTTTCCAAAGCAGCAGAGACACATTTCTTTCCAGCTGCCTTGGATCCCGTGAAAGATTTTCTATAATTTTGCTTTACACATGGAAGCACTCCTCACTCCTGCAAACAGCTCTGCTGACCGCAGGAAGGGGAAGAGACCGTGTGTGGAGGGAGGCGGGTGGGATCAGGGTCTCTGGGTGGACACTGAGGAGACTTCCTTATGGATCAAGGCCAGCAAGGCTCATTTGACTACTCTCACTGATTATGAGATGATCTTCGTAATTAACCAGCCTCAGCCTTTCCTACCTTCTCCTGACTTCAGAGCGTGCAGTGGTCTCCTCCTGTGGAGCGGCAGCTCCCCATGAGATGTTCTCTGCTGGCTCAGATGGCCCAGAGCCAGGATCAGGTGGCCCAGAAACATGTGTGGCTCAGCTGCTCAGCTGTGTGGTTGAGTCATACGTGTTTCTGGGGTCTGTGTGTGAGTGTGAATGCTCTGCACAGCACAGCATCCATAGGCACAGTGTCCAAGGGATGCAGAGAGGCTGCCAGTAGCTGGGCTGAGAGCAGCGAGTCCTGCACACACAGGAGGGGCAGAAGCCAAACTGCTCTGTTATCCAAGCTAGAAGAGTAAGGCAAAAGATTTCAAACCCATCTCATACCACTTCCAAAATTGAAAAACTGATTTATTCCCTGAAAACAATGGGCTTAAGCTCTCCATTGTCTGCACTTCTGTTTTGTGCTGTAAGAGGCTATGATGGGATAAAAATGCTGGTTTTCTTTAATAGCATGGTTTTATAATAACTTTGCACAGAAGTATCGGATTGCAGAGAGAGAAGGCAGAGAGGAAACAGATTCACTGCAACTTTCCTCCCTCAGTCCAGTTCTTGCATTTGTTCAGGGATCCTGGAAAAAGTGTTCCTATTTCAACAGTCTGAGCATAAACTGAGAAAACAGAAGAGAGATTTCTGGTCTTTCAGTCAATTAACACTTGACCTGGCTCAGAAGTCCTGATGAATGTGTTGGGGACTGTAATGCTGCTGTAAGCTGCCACCAAAGGCTGCAGTAATGATTGATGCCACAGTCACATCTACAGTCACATCTATATTAGGAATGTGGGACCTTGGTGGCCCTGACTACTACACAGTCATGATGCAATGCAGCTAGAATGTGTCTCTGTTTTAGGAAAGAATGAAAGTTGAGTTATTTCACATAATTCTTTGGGAATACCCAGGGCAAATTACTTTAAAGTAATTTACTTTTAAAGTAAATTACTTTCAAGGGCTGAGCAATCTGCATAGATGATCAATCACTTCAAAAAGTGGACCAGTCAGCACCGTTGCCCACCTCTGAAACTATGGGCCTCTTGGTTCTTAAAAGACACCTTGGGGTTATGGTCAGGCAATTATAAGCAGTCAGACCAAAGCAGATAACGAGCTGCTTCTCATTAGTGGTATCTCATTAAATACCTGAAAATACTGTGAAGGCTTATTTCTGTCCTGAAAGAGGTTAGGAGAGTGCAAGCAATCAGGTAGAGGAGTTAAACTGGCAGGTACCATCAGTGAAGACCTAGCTGGGGCAGTCAGTATATATTATAACTAGTGTCTGAACAGCTTGCTTAAGCCTGAGCTTCCCTTTCATGCAGGGATCCAAGGCAGTAATTTCTAGGTCACTCAGCCCTCATGTGGAAAGATGGCAAATTGGCTCTTGGGCTGTGCTGGCCCACCCCTGGCTGGGCAGACCTTGGTGTGTTTTATTTGAGTTCCTAAGTGTCTGCCTTTCCCTGGGCGTGTCCTCTTTTCACCTGCAAAAACCTCATCCAGATGGAAAATGATGGCTTGACAGGTTTGCCCCAGAAACCCAGACATGTCCACTGTGCTGACATGCCCAGCATATATGGTGGTAATTTGTAAATAAAACCAGTGTTTTCAGGGTTCCTCATCTCATACTAGTGGTGTTGCTCATGGGCAGGTCTTTCTGCTGTAGGTAAATGCATGTGATGGGGTGGGGAGTGCTCAGCCACATCAACTGACAGGCATCAAAGGGAAAGAAGAGAGGCTGGGGAGGGGGCTGGTTGTAGCCCACTGCTCATGGTCACAAGAAATACGTTGAATGTCACTGTCTCAGCTCTGAGTACTCAGCAAACTACAGATTTGCTGGGAAAAACACTCAACAACGGATCTGTCCAGGAAGCACCAGTCAGAAATGAGGGCATTCCTCCCCCTCTTCAGCAGAATTGTTTTGCTCCCTTTCCACCAAAACTGGAGGCACACCTTGGCCAGGATATAAAGGTGCTCCTTGGGATGAGTTCTTTGAGGAGAGGGGCTGGATGCATCAAGCTAGTGAGAGGTGGAGATGCTTGTGGCTCTTCTCTTCATGAAAATATGAAAGCTTTCAACAGCTTTCTCTTCCCAGCCTCTTCCAAGTGAGTGTGGAGGGGAGCATGCTGGAACTCAGCTGCATCCTAAGGTACACAACCCAGCTATCCTGGCTTACCTCCACGCTCAGGTCTGGTCCATCGCAAAGCCCCAAAATGCTCTCTTCCCCCTTCACAGACCAGACATGAAGGTTTTCACTCCCCTGGAGCAAGGAGGCTTAGGCTGAATTGAAAGGTTGGATGAAAGGATACTAAAATTAGGTTACCTGATATGAAGCCTCACTAGAATCTGATTTAATAATTCATGTAGAGCTATCAGCTTTTGCCCCTACCGTCCCCGTCTGAAATCACAGGAATGTGGGGATAAACTGGAAGCAGTGTGAGGATTTGTAGGGCAGGATCCAGCTGGCCAAAGGGGTGTTTCTGGGACAGCCTCCTCTGCTCCAGTGTTTCTGGGTGTCTGTGAAATGAGTTTACACACAACAGGGGCACCGCTTTCAGCAACAGCTGCAACAAGGAGACACCCGCTTGTTTTAAACAGGCTGCAGCCTGTGTCATTTGCCTCTGAGCAAACGAAAGCAATGCCAGCTGCCTCGCGGACAGGCCAGCCTGTCTGAGCCCTCCTCCTACTCTTCAGGGGAAAGCCAATTCCTAATGTACACAGTGTTCAGTTGACTAGGAGTGTTTGTGTGTCTGAAACGCCTTGTGTGTGTCATCTATTTCTGCCCTGCTCTGGTGGAGTGCTGCACTTCAGGGCTCACTCTTCCTGGCCTTACATACTTTTTTATAAGAATACCAGGGGAAAATAGCAAGCAATTTCTATATATCAAATGTCAAATCCCTGCACTGCTAATAACACACCATGCATCTAAAATTAAAAATCAGTTTGTTCTGGAATCCAAAATACATATCTTACATGAATTGCTAAAGCCTTCTATGAGTGAAAGAACTATTAGGTTTCTTCCCAGACTCCTAGCTGAGTTTTTTTTTTTCTTTTTTATAACAAGTGTCTGGAATTTAACTCCTCGCTTCTTCCTTCATATGGCAGTGGGAAACATTTGCCCAGGGTCCTCCAGCCATGCAGCTAATGCAGGGAAACCCCACATCAGGGCTCAGCAGGAGTCTGCCACATACCCACACTGTCTTGCTCCACAGTGCCCCATCCCTGAAAGCGTTTCTCTTGCTCAAAGCAGGCAGCCCAGTGCACCACTAAAACAAACAGAGCTGGTACAGAAGAGACGATTGTTTGCAGGCACAGCACTGAAAAACACCCTGTTTTGTTCAGCACAACTCCTTGCTGCCTGCTACAAATGGCCTTTAACAGAAGTATCAGTGCAGACTCCAAAGTGGGATTTAATTGCATTCAGAAGAATATTAATGTAGTGCCACTGCAATCGCTACCATGATTTTTGTTTTGTTTTGGTTTTTTTTTCCTCTAGAAAACTCTAACCCATTGTTTTTCTTTTTTTGTCTTACTCGTAGGTCTGTGATTCAGATACAATGCTTGATCCCGCCTCATCAGTGGAGATGGTAAAGGTTTTAGAAGAAGATCCAATGGTTGGAGGAGTTGGAGGTGATGTGCAGGTGAGTACGACAATTTTCAGATTAACAGAGGGGTTTCAGCAATTATTTGCACTGCAACAGATTTCCCTGCCTGGAATAGCATTGACTATACTGTGATATCATTATAGAGGTTTTTATGATAACCTAACCCTTCTGTCAGTTGAACAGAAACTCTTATTCTCAGATGTGAGCACTGTATGGTTTTAACACCCATAGAGAGCAGACAAACATTATTCTCCCCTATATATGTGAAAAATGGGGCACTGGCATTGTCAGAACTGTTGTGGCATCTTTGAATCTCTGAGAATTGAACAGGTCTCTCAATGCCAAGTCCAGCACCCCAAGTACTTCAATTATGTTACTCCTGGCAGCCAAGAATGTTAGGAATAAAAGCCTTTTTGAAATGCAATGCACTATGCACTCTGTGTATTTTTGGGTTTCCTCTGCATCTCTGTCAAGCAGGACAATGGAAAGCCCCCAAGTCAGCCCAGCTCCACTTTTGTTAGGGTTTCTAGCATTGCTGAGTTTGGCTGACAACTACAGCAAAAGGCTGTTCAATCCTTTTGACACAATTGCTTCTGCTACAATTTATAAAGAAAAATGCATATGAATATTTCAGTTGGCCTTAGGATCAGTCCTCTCTACTCAGTTGGGCTTTTATGTGAGATAGAGGAGAAAGGGCCATCTATATGGGCAAGCACTTACTAATGAACGCCCCAGTGGTCAGAAGTAAGATTCCCACAGAAGCCTGAATATCTGCGGCTCTGTGCTGACCATACTCACCCTACACATGTGAGATGCCAGGCATATGGGAGTACAACTGGATGGAGACAGTATGGGTTCAGCTATGACAGTGGAGGTTTGTAAGCATCTACAGAGAGAGGTGGGCAGGACATGTTTCATCTGTGAGCAAAGGAGGCAGAATGAAGTCTCTGGGCTTTATTTTCTTTCCTAGCTTACTTTCCAGCGTACACCAAATACGTTTGAGCCAGGCTTGAATCTGTCCCTGAGCCTTGCTGCTTCTACAGCATTCTGGAAATAAGTTGAAGCAGAGACAAGTTGGGCTCTTGGTCTTCAAACCTGACAGAAATTAGGGCCATTGGAGCAAAAGACTATCTTTTTATAGTTGCAGGAAAAATCTTTCTAGTTGTGGAAGGCCATAGGTTCCCCTGAAAATCTCCACACTGAGAGGATACTAGTGCAGAGTTGGCACAGCCACCCTGCTACACATTTCCTTGCCACATCCCCTAGAACAAAGTGTGTGCTGAGAACATGGATGTGAAGATATGGATTTGGGCATCTGCAAGCAATCTTACATCCATTGAGTGTTTGGACTCCTAGACTGTGTCTATGATGTATTTTAAGTGTAGGCCTGAGCTTCCCGTGAGCTTTGGGGCACACAGAAGAGAAAGACTGAGAGCTTTAAGTAGGCCAAAGCAAGATTCTACTGGAGTCTCATAGTATGTCTTGGGGCAATGTAACAGGGCTGGTGCTGCAGAGTCAAATCAGAACAGGTTGTTGCTCAGAGGGACTAATGTCAGATATGGGGACATAATCCAGGGTCAGACCTCTAGGGCCAGCTTTATGATATCAAAATATAGGCCAAAGACCATGTGCTTAGCCTTCCTTCTGTTCTGGAATAGGTTTAGGAGGGCTGGAAGAAGTCCTTATGAGTCCTAGAGATGTGGTTGGGAGGAGAGAGAACCAAGATGCCATGTGTGAGACTTCAACATCTCCTCTCAGGAGAGGCTGAGCCCAGCAAGTCCTTAACTGAGGGTGAAGGGAAGGGAAGAATGAGCCAGAAAAGAAGTTTTGTGGTGGAGAATAGGAAAGGTTGTGAGAAAAAAGAGAACATTCTGCTGGGACAGACTTCTGAATGTTTCATCCCACCCTTTTTGTCGATGTTCTGGACTGTGTAGATAACTCCTGGATTCACCATGAGTTGGACACATGAGTGGAGCTAATGATGCTCTAGTCTCTGCAAATTTCTTATTGATCAAAAGTGTGTATTTTCTTTCTCAAGAGCTCATCTAAAATGAAAATTTTTGTATTTTGCAGATTTTGAACAAATATGATTCCTGGATCTCCTTTCTGAGCAGCGTGAGATACTGGATGGCATTTAACATAGAAAGAGCCTGCCAGTCCTATTTTGGCTGTGTACAGTGCATCAGTGGACCTCTGGGGATGTACAGAAATTCTTTACTCCATGAATTCGTGGAAGATTGGTACAATCAAGAATTTATGGGCTCCCAGTGCAGCTTTGGAGATGACAGACATCTAACTAACAGAGTGCTAAGTCTGGGCTATGCAACAAAATACACAGCTAGATCCAAGTGCCTTACCGAAACACCGATTGAGTATCTCAGGTGGCTGAATCAGCAGACCCGCTGGAGTAAATCCTACTTTAGAGAGTGGCTTTATAATGCAATGTGGTTCCACAAGCACCATTTGTGGATGACCTATGAAGCTGTAATCACTGGATTCTTTCCTTTCTTCCTTATCGCCACAGTCATCCAGCTCTTCTACAGGGGAAAAATCTGGAACATCCTCCTCTTCTTGTTGACAGTTCAGTTAGTGGGCCTAATAAAGTCATCCTTTGCCGGCTTCCTTAGGGGCAACATCGTTATGGTTTTCATGTCACTCTACTCAGTGTTGTACATGTCAAGTTTACTGCCAGCAAAGATGTTTGCAATTGCCACGATAAACAAAGCAGGGTGGGGCACATCAGGAAGAAAAACCATCGTAGTTAATTTTATAGGACTCATTCCAGTCTCCATTTGGTTTACAATCCTCCTAGGTGGCGTGATTTTCACTATCTACAAGGAATCAAAAAAGCCATTTTCCGAGTCAGAAAAGACAGTTCTCATCATTGGCACAGTGCTCTATGCATGTTACTGGGTTATGCTTTTGACTTTGTACTGGGTTCTCAGAACCGTCACCAAATGTGGCAGGCGGAAGAAGGAGCAACACTGCGACATGGTGCTAGACTTATGATGTGGGAAGTTACCCAGAGAGCTGTAAAGCAACCCAACCACCTTGCAGTATCTGCGGCATCAGAGGAATGTTGCCAAGGGAAATGGATCATTGCTGCTGGGAATAGGACATTTATATTCCTCTGGGTTCATTTTCATCCTGCCAAAGCAAGAAAAAAACAAACAAATAATAAAAAATGCTTTTTTTTTCCAAGGGGGAAAATGCAAACCACACAGTTTCAACCTGTTCGCAAGAAAATGGGAGAACTTCTATGTTTATGCACTTTTTGTATTGTGCATACGCCTGACAGTGTTACGTTCTATATACCTCACTGGTCATGCTTATGTGTGTGGACAGGAAGGAAAGGAGTTTGGAGACTCCAAAAGGATCTTACAACCCCTTGCAATCTAATTTATGAACTTCTTTTTTTTATAGTTCTGTTTATAGGAAGGGTCTTTTGTGTTAGGCTGCCAAATGTAATGCCAAAGGTAAATTTTAAAAGGCCATTGGCTGAGCTGTATTTTTGTATTATTGTATTATTTGTGTGTGTGTATTTTTAAGCCAACTTTTTTTTAAATCACCTATTTTATATTTTACTATCTGCCAAAAAGCTGCCTCCCCAACATTTGTTCTTTAGTCTTTTTAAATACATTTGGGGAAAAAATCGTTCTTCCTCCCCCAAAAAATTTCTGCTGAATTGATATTGTTCACAACAGAAGGAATAAGAAGTCTCTCTGCATTTTTGCAACTGATGAATGGTTATTTCTGTGAAAAAGCATTTAAATGTGCTCTTTGAAGATACTTATTAGGAAAGGCCCAACATTGTCAGTTTTTGAATACAAGCATATTTGTGTGTAAAAAAGGCCAAAGGGGTAGATATGTGCAATTCGGGGTTTTGTTTTGCATAACATTGTAAAAGGGAAATTTGCCTCCCTGCTGAGTGCATAATATCCCTGGCATGCGCAATAGCCATAACACAAGCCAAGCCTTGATGCCATTGGAGAGGACATCACTATAGGAAAGCTCCCACTGATTTTACATGGGACCCGAGGAGTCAAAGGCTTCTGATCTGGAGAAATATTGGACACATGAAACTATCATTGACTTCACTGATGGTCGTAAATTTTCATAATCTGCTAGTACCAAGCATATAGTTCAGATTTTTTAGTTTAAAAAAAACACATGGAAGGAAATCTTATCAACACTTTCAAAATATGGGTGTCTTACCATGAAACTTCCTCCATGTCCTTCACAAAGTTTACAGAAAATACAAACATCATCTTCTCTGACATCCAATGTAATACAGACCCCAGTACTGAGCCTAATAATTTGTGTTTGACTAAAGCATATCTACCAGAAAAGAAGCCAATTTTTACAGCAGAAAACATCAAGTCTTAGCAAATCCATCCCTTCCTTGGTGCCTGTTAATCAGTCCTGGACATTTATTTTGGACCATGGTTTTGAGAAATAATATTCAGGACTAAATTCTGCAATCCTTCACCAGCCAAAGGAATGTGGCATTGAGCCCTAATATACTTTATAAAGAGCAACAGAAAGCCAGCTGCATACAGATACGTGCTCTTTTTTTAGATTCTGGTATTAAAAGCACTGTGGTAAAGCAGAAATCAGCATATGATGCTTAAAGAACTTAGAAGCATTTTTGTCTTCTCTTTTTTTATGCAGACGTGAATAGATTCTGCTGTAGAATGAACTGCACACACACTACCTTATTTGTCTGATTATCCTGAGGTACATGATTGCTTGAAAGTCATACTAATATTATGTTAATGATCAGAGAGTTGATTCATGTTGATTACAAAATAGAACAGTATTAAAAAAAAAGCAAAAGAAACAGTAAAAATAAAAAAAACTTGACTATGCCTTTTAACTATTTATGATGTAAGTTAAAGCTTGGGTTAACATTCAAATGTCAAATAAATCCTCTCATTCTATAAAAAGATTGAATTAATTGCCTGTATTTATTCTAGCAATTATTCAATGTACTTCCAATATAGGTTGTATAGTATAATTGTTACTTTCATAAATAAAATATTTTTGATAAGATTATGACTAATTCATGGTATTTCTGATCGCCACTTCTGCTTTGAAGCCACAGACCTGCACAGTTTGAAGGATGTTGTTATACTGTCACCAGCCTGGTTTCCCAGTAGAAATTTGCCACTGCGGAGCACCTGGGGAGCATGAGCCTGGAGGAGGCAGGGACTGGTCCCTGCTCTGAGTGGCAGCACAGGAATCAGGGACCACAGGGCCCCTGGGCTCTGGCACCTGGCACCCTGATGGCACAATATTCGGGTAGCACTCAGAGTCTCTGCCTGCTTCTGCCAGCAGCTGCTAGATGAATTCAGTAAAAACACTTCCCTTTTTCCTCAGCTTCATGATCTGTAAAACAAGGATAGCAATCCAACCTTCTTTTGGAAAGCGCTTTGAAGTTTATGGCCAAAGTACTTTACATGAGAGCTGATGTTTTCCAGCCCTCCTGTCTACTGGAAGTTACTACCCCCCACAGCTGGGGAAGCAGAGAACATGTACATGGCCTTCTACTGCTCCTCATTACTGCTGTTTCTCAAGTCCACCTTGCCCTAGTGCAGCTGATGTACATGCAGGTATTTTCTGTCACTGAGGGTTACAGACAGCAGTCACTGGTAGAGTAACAGAGTGAGGAGGGGACAAAGTGACATTCCACACATCTCTCAGATCATGATAGTCTCATCACAGGTCACTTATTTAGAAGAGCATCTCAGCACCTGTTACCCTATGTCTGGATACTGTGCCCTGTTTTATCATAGTATCATAGAATGGTTTGGGTTGGAAGGGACCTTAAAGCTCCCCAAGTCCAACCCCCCTGCCATGGGCAGGGACACCTCCCACCAGACCAGGCTGCTCAAAGCCCCGTCCAACCTGGCCTTGAACACTTCCAGGGAGGGGGCATCCACAGCTTCCCTGGGCAACCTGTGCCAGTGTCTCACCACCCTCACAGTAAATAATTTCTTCCTAATATCTAATCTAAATCTACCCTCATCCAGTTTAAAACCATTCCCCCTCATTCTATCACTACCTGTCCTTGTAAAAAGTCTCTCCCTGGTTTTCCTGTAGGACTCTTTCAGGAACTGGAAGGCCACAATAAGGTCTCGCCAGAGCTTTCTCTTCTCCAGACTGAACACCCCCAACTCTCTCAGTTGGTCCTCGTAGGGGAGCTGCTCCAGCCCTCTGATCATCTTCGTGACCCTCCCCCAGGACAAGAAACTGAAGTAGGTTCAGTGTATGGTTTGGGCTGGAGTGGAAGGGCTGAGAGAGCTCAGCTGGTTCAGCTGCAGAAAGGTTAGCTTTGAGAAGGACACCTAAGGTCACCTCCAGTACCTATAGGGAGGTCATCAAAGAGGTGCAGTCAGGCTCTCCACAGTGCTGCCTGATGGGAACATGAAAGGCTCCAGATTTAAGTTAAAAATGAAGAGGTTCAGACTGGGTATAAAGAAGGACTTCCTCCCCATGAGGACAGTCAGACACTGAAGCAGGGTATCAGGAGAGACAGTGCGGCCTCCATCCTGGGAGGGTTTCAAGGCTGCTCCAGATAAAGTCCTGAGGTGCCTGGTCTGACCTCGGAGCTGTCCCTGCTTTGAGCAAGAGTTCAAGCTGGACACCCCTGAGGCCCCTTCCAACACAAATCGTCCTGTCATCCTGTTGAAGCAGGTGCTGACAGTCTGCTTTTCAATGGCAGCTCCCACTCCCACAGGAGCTCATTCCCATCTCTGTTCCCCACACATCCGCCCTGACCCTGGGCACAAATAGCTCATCAGCAGCTGGTATTGAATATCCAGAAAAATCAGAGCCCTTCCTGTGACTGTGTTCCCACCATGTGTATGGTTGTGTAAAAAAAGGTTTCAGCAGAAAACAAGACTATGAAACAGCTCTTAATGAAAATGTTCTTAGACAAATTAAATTTGTCAATGACATTTCCTCTGCTCATTTTCACCTCAGCATTATTTCTTTGTATTTCCAACAATTTTTGGTTCTTGGGAAAAAATAAAATGTGTTTTTCATTAATAGCAAATATAATTGTGAGATCTCTGTCAAAAAAACAAAACATGTTAAAAGAAAAAATCATGCTTTATTCTGAACGTTTTTAAAAAACACATATTTTTCAGCCATCTCTGATAGACAGATGGTGCTGAACCCTAAAACTATAAATTCTACAAAAAAGTTAAAAAGCAATCTTTCAAAAAATGCAATGAACTGGCAATATCTCAGGTTGTAATAAGTTTCCAGAGTGGAGTAACTTGGGTTTGAGAATATCTGTTTGCAGAGACCAAGTGTGAAGCAAAACTTGTGTGAAACAGAGGTGCAGCAGGGAGGAAGGAGCCCTCCTGTTCAGTCTGCTAACAAGCTTTGGTTTGGCCAAGAATCAGGTTTCTTTCAATGGGAAGTGCATGAATATTTAGCAGAACTTTTCTAAGAGGCAGAAAATATCCTGTCAGACGTGTACTGCCAAACATGTCCCAACGCACAAGCTGTTGTGAATCTGTCTGTTAACAAATTTGTTCTGAATTTTATTCTTAGCAAGAGAAAAAATGGTAAAGAGGAGAGAAAGTAAAAGCTGTTTACGAGGTTTGGTATTACTGAGGCTTTGTTGGAAACGCTACTTCTCTCCAGATTTAACACAATTAGCTTAAACATAACGCAATTTTACTCCCAGATTTCACTTGGCCTAAGTTTGCTGCTTCAGTTTCAAATCCGATGGATGGATCAGTGTCCCAAGTTGCTGCTGCTTCTTCCAGCTATGGTATTTTGTATAATAAAGGATGTCTGTCAAACAAATTTGAATTTTCTTGTAGAATAGCCCTAAAATTTCTATAAGTAACTGCACAGAGGAAAATCATCCTGTAGTTACATTTACATTAAATAAATGAAAGACCTGGGCCATGTATCTGCACTTTGGTACATGATAATACTCTGTACTGCTCAAGTACAAGCATGGTCCATGGCATGTTTTTGCTGCCCCAAAAAATGTCGGATGCAGGTAGGAGAAATGCATGGAGCAGGAAACACATAGGTGTGGGGGACTGTAGAGCTCAGATATTATCTGAAGAACAGTCCCTGGATTTATTTTTTTTTGCCAGATTAAATATAAGATATCAATACCCCACTGTGGAGAACAACACATTGTCAGCTCACCTCTTATGGGACATCATGCATACAGGATCTTACTCTCAAGAGGTTAGTAGATGTCATTACTTTTTAAGCTCTTGAAAACAATCCTTCCTTCCTTCCTTCCTTCCTACCTTCCTTCCTTCCTTCCTTCCTTCCTTCCGTCTGTCTGAAAGAAGATTTCTAGTTCCTTCAGTCATGTCCAGAAAGCATGAACCAGCACCACCCAGGAACCAAACACTATTACTGTAGGGGGGTTGGACGAGATCTTCTTTAAAGGTCCCTTCCAACCCAATACATTCTATGATTCTATGATTCTATTACAGTGCTCAGGGTCTAGGACCCGTGGCATCAGTAATTCCACTGCTTCTTTCACAGCATCCCTGCCAGGCTGCCTTTCTCCTGGTAGCAGTCTACTTCCATTTCCTCTGGGTATGAT